ATCTATCTATCTATCTATCTATCTATCTATCTATCTATCTATCTATCAAATTTCATTTATATGAAATATTCAGAACAGCAAATGTATAACAATAGCAAATAGGCCAATGGTTAATAGGATGTATGGGCAAAGGGAATGGAATTTAGTTCCTAGAAACAATGCAAACACTCTGAAATTCAACAGCCGTGAGAGTTGCCTGTAGTTAAAACTCAACACAACACAACAGATTAGGTGTTATTTTTGCTCCTGGGCTTGAACCCAGGGCCTTGTGTGAGTTAGGTAAGTGCTCTGTGACTGAACTCTATCTCCAGTCTTTTTTCAATTGTACACTTTAAAGGCGGAAATTTGATGATATGCGAATTATATCTCATTTAAAAAGTCTGAATTCTAGCAGTGGTTTACCAGTTTGGCAGAATCACAACCAGCCCTTCCCCACGAAAGCCTGTATGTTTAACACGTCCCTGGGGGGGGTTCAGATGTAGCCAGGTTTGGGGACCTCTGAACTAGCTCTCCCATTCTCGACCCTGCTCACATCTGTAATGAGGGGACACGTAAACAGTTGCTGCACACAGCCCCTTTCTCTATGGGAGCTGGCCCCTCTCGGGTTCTGCATGCCCTGAAACAGCCAGACCTCACACCCCAAGAAGGACCTGTTGCATTAACTACAGAAACAGACCCCTCTTGTGCTCCTGGGGCCGCAGGAGGTTTCTCTCCCCCCCCTCCACCTCTGCAGCCTCTGCAGCCTCTGCAGCGGTCTGCTGGTGTTGGCTTCCCCAAATGAGGACTCTGCGCCCCTTCCCCACCTCCCTCCTTCAGAGCTTCTTTCTATAGAACCTGGGATGGCCTATCCTTTGCTCTGGTCACACCAGTGCCAGCCCTGTAATGTGGTAGGGGAAGCCGAATCCCACTAGGGAATCTGACGGAGGAGCAAGTCACAGGGATGAACCTCAGGTGTCTGTGAAACTGCCTGCTACTAGCAGCCTGCCTCTGGGGCCTACCTCAGACTTTTGACAAGGGAGATCTTAGAGAGGCCAGGCAGACCTGGACTTCAGCCTGAAGCCCAAGTGCTTCTGGCCCTGGTAGCACGGACAAGGACAGGTATGTGTGCAGGCCTAGAAGGCCCTCGGCCTTGCTGTTTAGCTGCAAGCTGGAGGGCTGGTACCTTGGGAGGTCTCTTGACGTGCCTTGCCTGTCTCCTGACTCCTTTCAAGGACTGCAGCAACAACAGTCACTCACTGACTGAGAGTCAGCTGTATGCCCAGCCCGAAGTGACATGCTCTGAAATATGTCATATAATCCTTACAGTGGCATCTGCCAATGGGAATTACACTTCTCACTGGACCTTCCAAACTCATACTCATGTATTCATATAACCAGTATGTATTGAGCAGTTATTATGCACCCAGCACTTCGCTATAAGGAGTGAGGTCCTTCTTCTCTTGGGGATTCCATTCTGCTCTTGACCACAGAAGGGGCTTTCTTGAATGTGATTGGACTGGTCTATCACCCCCTGTACACTGAAGTTTTTAAGTTCTCCTGCCTCAGTTTCTCCCTGCGTGTGCAGAACCCCTACAGTGGATGTGCCCGGGTTGCACTGACTGGTAGTTTCAGGACACTGGGGAAAGCTTTGGTCATATTCCATCATTATGACCCTTGCCAATCTTTCCATCCTTGCTTAATTGACTGGCAGCTACTTTTCTTTGAATAGGGTTGCTTTGGGAGAACACACACCTTTAAGGCTTACCTCTGTGTCAAACTGCGCAACAAGGTCTATTACATAATTTGTGCTGGCTCTGTTGTCTTCCTAATAAACCTTCAAGGGCCTAGTGTGCGCAAGGCCCTGGGCTCCAGTCCCAGCACACAAGACCTAAGTCAGTCACTTGTGCCATAAGAGAGCTTATTTGTGTGCTACTTATCATGGGCACCAACCCCATGGGCACGCTCTGGGGAAAGATGAGGGGAGAAAATATGAGTCCCTCTGCTTCATGGAGGAGGATGTGGGTGAAGAACACCTTCTTACCTAGATCAAGAAACAACTGAATAGCCACGGCCCAGAAATATCCCCCCCGCCCCCGTAAGCTGTGTGGTGTACAAGAGAAGCCAGAAGAGACCTGAGGAAGGGCAATGGCCAATGGTGAGACAGCCCGTCTAATGACCTCCCCAGTTCCAGATCAATAACAGATTCACCGAAGACCTGAAGAAAATGGGGCTGGATGCTCATTGAGGAAGCCTGGTAAAGTGTATGCAAGATGCAAATTCCGTGAGCCCTTGGTGTTGTCTCTCAGTTCCGCCCAAGTCCACCCGTGCTTGGTAAGATCATGGTGGCCACCTGGCCCTGTTCAAATGCTTCAGTCTTTTGAACACCTCAAGTACATCAGTTTCCCATTTTACAAATGAGGAGAGAAGATGACTCCCCTTACACTGTGGTCCTGAGCAGGAGCTGAGACCAAAAAAAAAAAAAATGTGTGAATGGAACTTCACCCAGATATTATCCTGACTAGTCAAAGAATTCAATACACACGCTGGCTCCTTTAGTTTGTAAGGCAATGTTCCAGGGAGGCGATGGGTGTGGAAGGTTGTACAGGGGTGTGGAGGGGTGCGGAGGGGTGTGGAGGGGTGTGGAGGGGCGTGGACATTAGCCCAGTACCGTCCTTACAGCTGAGGAGCCAAAACACACCAACTGTTTGGCTGAACCATATGAAGTTGCCAGCTTTCAACCATTTTTGGCCCACAACCCAATACTGCGCTGTCATCCAGATCAGAAAGCAAAGTAAGCACAAAACGGGATGGGGGAGGAGAGAGGTTTTTTGGAAGAGTCAGGGCTGGCTCCTCTGAGGACTCCGCTTCCAGGGTCCTGAAGGCCTGGAAGGGGCGGGCTGCAGTGGGCTGAGAGCCAGGCAGCCAAGCCTGCCAGGCCGGAAGTAGTGAAGGGAGTGGAGCCCAGGGAGCTGGGTGGGACCCATTGTGGAGGGGCTGAGCGGGTGAGTTTGAAAGTTACCCTTGCGATTTGGTGAACAGAAGCCACTATCGTCCCTTTCTGCTTAGTGAGCTGAGTGGCCCAAAGTGACCCAGCAGCTTTGTAACTCTGCCATGGAGAGCTGAGGTGGCAGCAGGAGTAACTAGCCAAAAAATAAAAAATTAAAAAAGGAAGGGAGCTGGGAACGTGAATTCTTGAATGACCAAGGAAAGCTGAGGAATGCCTTCCCCTGGAGACCTTGTAGGGAAGTCTTTACGTGTCTGTTTCTAGAACAGTTCTGCCCAGAGGCCCTGGTCCAGATGACCTATTTGGGCTCTTTCCAGTCTGCAGCCTAGGTGATGTCATTGTTCCCTATTCCTCTGGATAGGGCAACCTCACCCCGTCACACTCATTGGGGTTATTCCTGTCTTAGAGATCCCAGGTTCCCAAAGCCACAGCTCTTCCGGTGGATGATTCACGACCTTGCCTAGCCGCCATCCTCCTTGCTGTCAGCCTGTGTCAGTCCAGCTGCTCTCTCCCTACTGTCCCTTGGAGGTGACAGAGCATAGGCTGGCTCTTTATACAGCCAGAGCCCTGGTGTTTGGCTTCCCCTCCACAGTGAATTTTTAACCCAGAGCCTGGATTTGAGTCTTGGCAAGTTGTATGAGCTAGAGAAAGTCATTTGTGGGCAGGGAGTAAGTAAATTAACATTTGTGGGTTGTAACTAGATGCTGTAACTAGATACTGATTTGTTGAATGAACCGGATAGAGGCATTATCCTTATTTCATGGGAAGGGGAGGTGACTGAGGCTCTATGAGGCTGGGTCTCTTGTTCATGATCCACCTACTAAGTCATAGAGCTACAGTGGAAGCAAGGTACGTACTTTAGCCCGTGGTGATAGCTATCACTGTACTGTGCAGTCTTGGTTTCTGCTCTCTGTAAACTAGTGTTAATACTGTCTGGTCCACAGAGTTTACTGGGAGGAATCAAAATATACACATTTGCAGAGCATGAAGGCATATGCCTTCAGCCTTAGCACTCCAGGGGTAGAGGCAAGAGGATCAAGAGTTCAAGGCTAGTTTGGGCTGCATACTGAAACCGTGTCTCAAAAGTAAAAACAAAACTCCTTACACATTGCATGGAAGTGATAAATAAACCAAAAGTGCAGACACTAAGAATCATAAAAAACTCAACCCTAGTCACATCTCTGGGCCTCTTTCCTTTACTCAGGAACTCTTATTCATCCCACTTATTACTACAGTGGATTGCCATATATCATAATTATACATGGCGGTGCTGGGGATGGAACCCTAGGGCCTTGTGCATGCTAGGCAAGTATTCTACCATTGAGTCATACCAGCCCTGGCAAGCCTTTCTCTAGCATGTTTGCTTGCCTAATTCACTTGGGAGCATCTTGAGGGCATGTTGCCTGCCCTGGCTCGTGGTGGTGTGCACGGAGGCTGGCTTCAGTGGCTGGTGGGGGCACAGTTTTCCCCAGCCTTCGGCATTACCTTCCCTGCTCTGGGCTCTAGATCCATACTCTCCCAACATGGAAGCTAGCATCCTCCCTGCTACCCGCCGCTATCCATCTTCCTTCCCACCAGTGGTCATAGGCTGACCTTGGCCAGCTGAATCTCAACCTTCAGCTTGCAGTTCTAGCCTCTTTGAGATCTTTGTAGGGTTTTATCACTGCCAGGATACTCGTCGAATAAAGGACAGGCTTCAGTTACCTAAATCTGCCATGTACTTCCCTACTTCTGTAGCTCGACTCCAGTGCTTTGGCAGAATGTCCGTCCGCATGCAATGTCTCCATTTGTGAGGTCCCTCCTGATCACTCGCCTTCAACATCCCATGCGTCCTCACTAGAGAGCAACAACCCTTGCAGGACTCCTTATGTCTCCTGCCTTCTCAGGAGTCACTTGTATCCCATTGTGTGATCCCAGGCAAGCTGGTCTGGGCCCCAGTCTCCAGTCTCTCCCCATGCCCAGTGACTCTCCCCAAACTTACCATCCCATGACCTGGCTTTTGGAAAGGTTATGGGGCAACAAGACACAAAAGAGTCCCAAGTAGAACCTTCGAGTCTTGACAGCACGTGCTCTGCTCCCAGGCCTACAGATGAGCTTCTGAGCTCGTACATGCTAATTGGCTTGCTTAATAAAGGGATAAATAAATATCTGCTTAACATGATTACTGTCAGAGTCCTGAGCTACAGAGCCTTCCCTGCCTTAGAGTTTGACTGCAGGAGAAGCTAATTAGCTCTAATTAGGCAACTCCCAGGTGCTTTAGACTGAGAAGATGGTGTGGGGGCGGGGAGAGTGGAAGGCAGGTGGGGAAGGGGCAGGAAAGGGACCCATTCACCCCTCCCTCCTTCCTATGCAGGCTCCTTGGCTCTTAACTTTTCACCTACCTGATATCCGGGAAGTAATCTCCTGGAGAAGCTATTGGGTGCCAGGCGCTGCCTCAGCCATGCTCCCTGCACCGTCTCATTTGTTCCTCATCATGGGATAAGAACTCGTTATGGCCCCAATTCGTAGATGGGGAAACTGAGATATATTAAAACCAAACACAGGGACACAGAGATATCAAGATGGATTCAGTGCTAAGGCCATGTGCATTGTTTGGCTACCACTGTTTCTCTGGAAGCCAAGTGTACAGAGACTGTGGGGACAACTTAGGGTCAATCCACCAAGAGAGGTTTTCCGGAGTGAAAAACTGGCCAGAGCCAATGCTGGTAGAGTATCTAGGAGAGTTGGTCATCCTTTGGATCCCCATCTCCACCACACCCCAAGGCTCTTTCCCACATGACTCCAGACACCTGAGTGGCCAATCATTTAAGGGCAAGAAGTAGATAGAGTGGACCGGGATTTCAGGAGAGGCAAAGCACAGGAAGATGCGTTCCAGGCCAGCCAGGGCTATACAGCAAGACCTTGCCTTAAAAGTGACGTCTGTAAAGAGTGGCATCGCTCTTCTGTCTGTCATTTCTCTAAGAGAGGTACCTAGGCTTGAGATTTCCAGATTTACGTTTTTTCCCCCTGTAAGACTGCTAGGGGCAAGCAAAGGAGTTTAGGTTTGTATCTGAATTTGGTTCTGTCCTGACATTTTTCTATGCGTGCTCTTAGACTTGACCCTTTTTGCCTCCATCGGTCTTTACTGCCCCCCCATTCTGAGCCTGGCCACACCCTCTTCACTGGCTTCCTTGTGTGTTTCCTTGCTCCTCTGTAATCTATTCTTCATACCGTGGTTAAACAGGTCTTGTAATATTCCTCAGACCATGCCCTTGAACTTCTCTCCACAAAGCAGACATGATTAGGCCTCTGTCTGCTACTTGGAACTCATTTTAGGCTACGCTACTCTACTTGCTGAGATCTACTGCTTCGGTCTCCTTAGTGTAACTGGAAAGATACTCAACTTGTTTCCACACCAGAGCCTTCATACTTGCTGTTCCCGCCCCTTCACTGCCCTTGCTCTGACTATTGCTATGGCTGACTCCTCATTTTTTGGCATCGTACTAGAGGTGAAATCCAAGGCATTGAGCATGCTAGGTAAGAGTACAACCTCAGCCTTTTCCTGTGCTACCTAGGCTGGCCTTGTGCTCACTCTGTAACCCACGCAGGTCTCAAACTTTCCACCCCACCGGGATTGCAGGCCTATACCACCAGGCCTAGATTCCTTTTGCTTCTTCAGCATTCCCTTCCTCAGAGACATATTTCCTTAAAGAGCAGTACTTTTTTTTTGTTTTCAACTCAGTATTCTTTTGGGTGCCTTCCAAATACCACAGTTGGCAATTATTTTTCATTCCATTTTAAAATGTGTTTATTGACTATTTCCTTTCACTTACACCGAAGATCCATGAAGTTAATGACTGTTTTCGTCGTAAGTGTACCTCAGACAGTGTTTGGCACATAGTAGGGCCTCAGTGTAGATTTGTTATGCAGACAGATGGCAGATGTTTGCATCAATGAATGAGCGACTAGGTCTTGAAACTGCTGTAAGGATTAAATGAGCTAATGCTTGTTAAATGTCTGGCAGAGAGCCTGGTAAAAGGCACAGCTCAATAGCTAACCTTGGAATGTGCGTGTGCCCTGCGGGCTGGCACCCAGCTGCTTTCTGAGCTAGCCTCACCTTAGTCAGCTAGCCTTCCATCCTCATGCCTGTTGCCCACAAGGCCCAGCTCCAGCTGCCATGGAAACAACCTGTTCTCACCTGTAGGTGCCATTGTGCTGGGGTAGAGAGCCTGCCGTTGGTGTTACACCATTGGTAGAGCAAGATGGCCCGATGTAGGAAATCAGCAAACAGGACAAGTGAGGACTCTCTGCTTCCTCTGGCTTCTAGAAAATCTGTTTTACCAGTACACTGCCAGCAGCCTCCACCACTACTGCATGACCGGCCAAGTGTTCCATCTTGCGTTCTCGGCCTGCCTGGAGCTCCCTGCCTTGACAGCCCAGCTCAAGCATTGATTCCCCCACTGCTGATGACAGTCACTGTGCAACCAAGCAGGAGCCCCCAAGCCAGCATTTCTGTGTATTCATTTTTGTCCTCTTTCTCTGAGTACGTATGAGAAGCACACTTTAAAGCCTGAAAGCAGAGGCGGTGTGTGTGTGTGTGTGTGTGTGTGTGTGTGTGTGTGTGTGTGTGTATGCACACATGTGTGCATGTTTCTGTTTCCCTCTGGCACCTGGCACACACTTGGCAACAATGAAAGCCCTCTTTAAGACTCACAGCAGCAGTTTGATAGAGCAGCAGGAAGGTGGGCCAAGAAAATGGGGGCTCTGCCTTTGGCTCAGCCACTGGTTTGCAGAGGAAGCTCTAGGCACCCTCTTTCCCTTTCTCAGTGTATCCATCTAGGATGATGTTGATGGTTTCAAAGCTTCCTGGAGAAGCAGGCTTGCAAGGGAACACTCACTAACTTATGCACTAAGGGGTATTATTATTTTATGCAAACCCCCTTAGGTGTTTTTAAAGCAAGGAGCATCCCTTTGGTCCATCAACTGTAACAGAGGACTCAGAAGGGCCGTTAGGAATACTGAACTTGAAACCTCTGCCCTGCAGGTATTTCCATCTAGGGTTTGCTTGAGCACTTACTATATGCCAGGTACAATTCTAAACACTTCTGTTTGTGGATGAACTAATTTAACCTTCACAACAATGATGCGGGAAGATGTGTACTGTTATCAATGTCCATTTTATGCGTTATTCAAAGATGTCAAACAACATACTCAAGTCACTCAGTGGCAAAGAGGAACTGACACTTGAACCTGATGGCAGTCTGTTCCCGAAGGCCACTGCTACCTACTCTTCAGCACCGCCTTTTCATCTCTCCAGCCTCCTCTCCGGGGCCCCTGAGGCCACAAGGTAGGCAGTGAGCTCCTTTCGCACCGAAGCTCAACCAGTTCCACCGAGGCCCAAGCTTTGCTAATAGGCATAGAGCCCTGGGGAAAACATTGCTTCTTGGTCCCTCTGTGTTCTAGTCATATGACCTTGAACAAGGCCCTCACTCCTCTTAGCTTTAGATGTTACATCTGTTTCACATGGAGGTCTATGAGTATTTAGAGAGGAAGGAAGTTAGCATGAACTGGATAGCTCTCCTTCTCTGTGTGTGGGGGGGGTTGGGGGGAAGAGGTATATTGCTTTAAATCGCCTCTGACTCTCCTGGAAGGGTCTAAGGAGAAATTATTCCTCTCGTTTTGGATTAAGTATGCTCAGAAAGGCTAATGTCTTCCCTAGAGCCTTAGAGTCAGGACAAGTGGAAACAGGATTCAAATCTGAAAATTCATGCTCCTTTTACTTAAGTAAACTGCTTTAGAATTACTTATAGAAAAATTAAAAAGAGTATAGTACTCATCCATTAACACTCTCAGTGGATGCCTGGAGCCATGGCCACTACTGAACCCAAATGATATGCTCAGAACTTTTCACCTCACTTAAAGAAGCACTTTCAGGGTCTTCTTTGGCATATTTGAAATGCCACCATCACTACACTTACACTTCGGAGCCGCTGCTCCATAAAATAAGGGTTCATTTGCCATAGGTTCCATGAGAACACAGTAGATCTAATAGCCAAGGCAGCCACCAAGTGATGACTGATGGGCGGGGAGCACATACAGGGTGCAGACACTAGGGTAAAGGGAAGACTCACATATCCAGCAGGACAGGGCAGGATGGCTCAAGACTTCATCATGCTACTCAAAACAGTAAGCAATATAAAGCTTACGAATTGTTTATTTCTAGAACTTTCCATGAATATATTTGGAGTTGATTAGGAAACTGAAACCTCACACGGCGAAGCCTCTGAGAGAGAACAACTGTACGGAGTTCCCCCATAATCTGTTGCAAGCTTTCTTTACTCTTAACATCTTGCGCTATTAGGATGATGTGCTTGTCAGAATTAATAAACCAAAATTTACACATTATTGTTAATTACTGTTCGACATTCTTGGTTTTTACGTACTGCCCTTTATCCTTCCCCACGAGGCTGGTAGAGTTACGACTAGTAATTATGTCTTCTTAGGCTCCTCTCTGCGTGGGCAATTCCTTGGACTCACCCTGCCAGTACTGAGGACTAGCGCTCAGGTATTTGGTACCATGTCCCTCAACTGGAATGTGTCTGCTTTTGTCCTCAGGGATAGACTGGAGTTAGGTGTTTCGGGGAGGAAGACCACACACAGAGGTCAGGTTCCGTTCTTGTCGCAACACGTCAAGGACATAACCTTGTCAGCGAGACCTCTTGCTCTAGACATTGAACTTGGCTGCCTGACAGGGGTAGTGTTTAGTGGATTCTTCACTCTAACGCTACTCTTTCTTTTTCCTTTTTCATGAGCCACTCTTTGGAAGGAAGTCGTTCAGCCCTGCCACTACTTAAGGGATGGAGAACGGGATGACGTGCTCCCCTCCTTGTGCGAGGAAGTGCTGCATAAATTATTTGCAATTCTTCTGCTCCAGGGATTTGCCTTTCTCCTCTGTTTATTTATTTATTTAATTGTTTATTTATATCACTATAGACTCATGGAAATTTTCTGTATACTTTGAGTTAATAGCCAATACTGCATTATTTATTTTGTTGCTCAAACTCTTCTAGTTTGACTGTTTGGCGGTTTTTGCAGCTGGCCCCTACTTCCCTTGGCCATATCCCCATCACGGTGGCTCTATGTTTTTTGAGCACTTTCTTCATTTCTGGTACCACAGAACACTTCAGGCTCACTTTGTATATTCCTTGCCTCAGCCCTGGGATCAAGCTCTCCTGCACGGAGATTGATTCCCTTCATTGTACGATGGTATTAAAGAGCAAGGCCAGGGCACTGAGCATGTCTAGTTTGACAGGAGCCTACTGACTAACAGAGCACAGAGGTGTATGCAGATATCCTTTCCAGTGGATGAACGCCCACCTGTAAGTTCCCCTCTGCACAACCGTCTGGAGCTCTGTGAAGCTACCTTGGTTGAGATTTGTGTCTATTCTCCCACTCAAATGCATTGACACGGGGATTAGTCCAGCTCCCCCTTGCTTAACCGTAAGTACATTCCACTCCCAACAGCGAACAGCCTGGCTCCTGCCGACAACCACACACTCTTTCTCCCTAACTCCTGCCAGATTCCCAAGGCTTATATGACAGTTGACATGGTGAGTAGCTATGTTCATTTTTCCTGGACTCTGAGTAGCTTTTCCGTAGTGGGCTAAGATTCTGTGGCCTGGGAAACCCCCTTGGTTTGGTTTCTATTGGCAACCTTCAAAGGCCTGGGATGCTTTCTCCTAGTACTGTGGCCGATTGAGTCATTAGAGAGTTTGCGCATGTTGCAACTGCCCCTCAAACACTGGCTGGCCAAGTTCAATTTACAGCCTCCTGTGCCATCACCCTCCCCTCTAACCAGTCATGGGGTCTCTTGCTCAATCTTGTGCTTCTGGCTAGTGGACTTGACTGATTGTGATGGAGGACACTCAGGAATCCCGGGCCTAGGCAATCTGCAGCAGGAGGGCCTAAGGCTGCTTTGACCAGAGCTCCTATTAGATCAGCTCAACGGCCATCGCCTTGGAGCAGTATGCTCACTGGCCCCATGTGAGCAGGGTCCTATGACCAGCCCCGAATCTTGAGAAGTCTGTGTTTTGGGGGCGTTCTTGCTGTTGCAAAGCACTTGCCAGAGCTGGCGGTACCCCTTCCTACAGGTGACATTCTCTGGATCATATCAGCCCCAGCCTGTTTCTCCATTTTGGTACGGGCTGACTGGCAGATTCCCTGAAGATTTCCAGGACTCATGCATATGGTGTCTTTCTGCAGCTCCAAGGTTAGACCCATTTCCAGGTAGGTGATCTGGCAGGCAGGTTGCTCCCACTGGCTGACATGGTACCTTTGGCTTTTTTCTTTCTTTCTTTCTTTCTTTTTTCAGGATCATGGGTGGGGTTAGATTGTAAAATGTTGTTGACTTATTGGCTGGAATGACTTCTGTAGAAAGGATCTCAAGAGCCACACACTACTGGGACCGTCTTTCTCTGGAACTTATGGAATTAAGAGTACAGAGTGTCCAAACTGCAAGGCACTTTTGAAGATATTTAGCACAAGGCATTCCTTATTCACATCCGACTCTCCTTCTACTCCCACTCCAGATGCTTCCCTGGTTCCAGGCCCAGTCTGGAACTTATGAGGGGGGCATGAAAGAGGAATAAATCTCAGTCCCTGCCCTCTAGCATCTCTCAGTCGAATAGGGACCCAAGCACCCAAACCGTCACTGTACATAATATACTAAAAAGAACAGCAGTAATAATAATAGCAGATACCACATACTGAGTTCGTACTATGCCCAGGCCTTGGGTGTTTTACAAGCATCATTTATTTGTTCCTAGTAAGCTCCTAGGAGTCACTAGTATCCCCACAGAAGAGGCAACCTAGGCTTGGCAATGAGAATCAACCGAAGTGTGAGAGCCATGGTCGTACCTCAGACCTTCCCAGCTCCACAGTCTGAGTTCTTTTTCACTCTCTCAGACCTTGAACCCGCAGCCAAGTGTGGTAAGGCAACTTGCCCAGAAAGAAAGGGGCTGAATCAAGTGCCCTCTGCCCTCAGCTCTACCCAGAAGCCATAAAGCCTTGCCAAGAAGACAGTGGCGTGTGTTCCTGACCCTAGCTCCTTCTCCTATCATGGCCTCATCTGGCATGGTCCCAGAGACAGGCAGGCCATGTGGTCAGCATACCTCCCTCTCAGCACTGCCAGGCCACAGCTGGCCCACCTTCGTGTGCCCCCTCCAGTGCCCAGCTTTCTCTCCTCAGCCAACCACACAACTCTCCTTCCGTTCAGCATTCCTGCCAGCTGGTGTGTGAGCCCTGTGTGAGGAGACGAGGTTGCTATGGCAGCTGTAGAGGGTTAGTGTGGAGAGGGGGGGTACCCTGATGCAAAGCTACTGACCTCTCTGGGAAGGGAGGCTGTGGCCCCAGGCCTGGTAAGTGCTTCAGCAGATCACCTCAGACAGCCTACCCCCACCCGCTCTGGCCCTCTGCCCACACCGGGTGTGCTTTAAGAGCTCTCACCACCCGGAGAAAGGGATGAGCCAGGGAGGAAAAATGCCCAGGCTCTTCAGAGCTCAAGCCCAATATAGCAGAACTAATTTGAAATGTCACTTAGGGCAGTCTCACTCCCAGCCAGCAAAAAGCTGGTTTATTTACATAGTTGGCTGTGGCAGGAGGCCAGGAACCTTGTCATGCCAAGGCATAGGGGATGGGTGACTAGGAGCCCTGGTTGTGGCCCCTTGGCCTGGAACCTTGCTCTGACTTACAATCTGGAAGCCCCTATGGGCACAAGGGTCCTCAGGAGTGCCTTACCCCTCTCTAAGTAGCACTTACCCGCCCCGCCCCCTTTTACAACCTAGGGCACGGCAGGAATGCTAGTGACTACCTTGGTGCCAGTTCATGTTAGGCACAACACTGCATGCCTGGCATGCTTTTTCTTGTTGCACCCTTACAAAAAAAGGGGGGGCTCTCAGCCCCATGTCCCAAGTCGGGAAGCTGAAGCTAAGAGAGATTTATGATTTTCTTGTGGCTCTATAGCCATTAAGAAAGTGACAACTGGGATTCAAATCCAGGTCAGTCTGACTCCTGGGGCTATGGCTTTCTCTTGTATCAGTGCTTTGTAGCTTGGCTTCTATCATCCATGCCACGCACTACCCAGGATATAGCCTACGCAAGGCACTAGGTCCACCAACTGATTACCAGTGGCCTGTGTGTGTGCATGTGTGTTACTGGGGATTAAACCCAGGGCCTTGTGCATGCATATACACCACTGAGCTGCACCCCCAGCTCCTGATGGCCTTTTTAAGCAGAGTCCCCATGGGCCCTCTTGTATTGCCCAATGAACCACTAGCTTGGAGGCCGATTGGCCTGTGGAAGGCAGAGTTCAGGCCCCCAGGAAGAGAATGCAGGATGTTTCTGAAGCTTCCTTGTATGTTTCAGTCACGGACGCATCCAGGTCCCTATCTGAGATGGTTGCATGCGAGTGGCAGTGCCAGCTGACTATGTTTTGCTCTGGCATGTACTGAGTGCCCTTTCGGTGACTGGATGGTTGTGGATGCTGAGAGCTCAGAGAGAAAGGTGCGGTCCCTGCTCGCGTGGCTCGATGAGCTACCATCTATAATAATATCACAAGATAGGCTAATGTTGAGGGGTCTGTGCCAGGAACTGTTTTAAAGTTGAAGACTTTGAGAGAGGTCCTATTGCTCTTCTCAGGTGAAGAAAGACAGCTTTGAGAGACACAGTATTTTTGCCCAGGGTCACCTAGCTGGCAAGAGATAACAGTGGGGTGTGAGCTCATGCAGCCTGCTGTCAAAGCCCATAGTTTTAATTTTTAAAAATTTATGTGTATGGGTGTTTTATCAGCATGTCTGTCTATGTACCAAATGTGTGCCTGGTGCAGAGACCAGAATACGGTATCAGATGTCTCGGAACTAGAGTTACAAATAGTTGTGAACCACCACGGGAGTGAGAGAATCGAACCTGGATCCTCTGGATAAGCAGCCAGTGCTCTTAACCACTGACCCATTTCTCCAACCCCCATACTTACCATTAATCCATTCTTATCTAATATAAAGGGGGAAGGTTACACACAGTGGTGAGGAGCCTTAACTTGCCAAAGGTTCCACTGTAGGCAAGCAAAGGAGTCATTTGCCAGTTGAACCCTTCCTTGAGCACATCTTCAGAGTGTTGATCCAGAAAACGGTTCTGGAGGTAGCCCAAGCTACTCACTGAGAAATTCAACTCCTCTAAAAGGCTATGTCTCATTATCTTTTAGGGCATTGGCTACTTCTTGGCACTGAAGACTCAGCCAGCCTGCTAGCCAGGGGTTAATACCCAAGGGAGCCAAATGAAGAAAGGCCTGCCCTCTTGTCATGGCCCTAGGGAGGAGATATGACTAGAACCAGCTGGTAATCATTTAAGGATGTTGATACAGCAGCGGTTGAGAGGGGGAGGGGTATGGCAAAGACCCAGAAATCAAGACTGGGATGTGACAGCGAGTTGGCCAGTAGGCAGATCCTGGGCTGAAGGGACAAAAATAGAGCCAGGTAGAAGGAGGATCTACTTGACCTAAAGTGCTAACCAAGTGGTTCTCCTTGAGGTTCAAGACCAAAGCATCGACTCTAGAAGGCTCAGCGTGGAAACAGTAACTTGGTCTGGGATAGGGCAGGTAGCTCCGGGTCTTGGAGAACCCAGGCCACTGGAGGCAAGAAGACCATGACCCACATTCTATAAGCTGCCGTCTGCTTACAAGTAACTCATTTATCTTTCTGGGAATTTTTTTTTTCAAAATAGCTCAGAAGAGAATAGAGAGATCTCCGCAGTGGTAAGAGATCTTCTTCCTGTCCCAGTTCTCCCCACCCCATGCCCGCCAGCCATGTGTGCCCCTCAGCAGACAGAACAACCCAAACCTGCCTTTGCAAACACCATTAGCTGTGGATGATTTTTTTGATTTTTAATTTTATTATTTTATGTGTATGGGATTTACCTGCTACATCCTATGCACATTTGGTACCCAAAGAGGCCAGAAGAGGGTTCTGGGTTCCCCAGAACTAGAGTTAGAGACAGTTGTGAGTTGCCATGTGGGTGTTGGGAATTGAAGCCCAGGTCCTCTGCAAGAACAGCCAGTGTTTCTAACTACTGAGTCATCTCTCTGGCCCCACACTTCCACCCCAGAGAGTTTTACACGAGAAGTATTTCTTGACCTAGAAACCCAGGGAGGAGTAGGCAGGATAGCGGCTGCTGCATGGGCAGACAGCCCTGCCAAGGACCAAGTTGGCTCAGAACTGGAGTTGGGCTGATTCGAGGAACGAGGACAGTACTGGCTGGCTCATCAGTGGCATAGCTACTGACCTCAGGGGCTCAGCTGGGGAGGGACGGCTGCTTTATGAGAACTCCTGTGGGAAAAGTCACTTGGCCAGGTCCCAATTCCAAGTCAGCTGTAATTGTAGAACCATCCAGGTTTCCCCAAGCCTGTGTCTGGCCCTCCTGATACTCACTCACACAGCACTTTCTTCTCCCCTCCCCCTCCCAACCAAGCAATCACTCGATTTCCTAGCCCCGCCCATCTCAACTCCTAAACCCTTCCTTCTTCTTTCCTTCCCTGTCTTGTGCCTTTTACTGCTACCACATCCCTAATCGGAGGGAAGAGGACGGTACATTTTCGTTTACCGAGAGGTGCTCTGCTGTGCTGGCCCTGTTTTCCAGAGGAGAGAAACTGCAGGTTAGAGAAGGAAGTGTCTCTTTCTTAAGGGCCGTCACACTCAGGCAATCGGCCCTTAGGGCCGCAGGCAACCATAAAGCTCCTGGTCCCTCACTAGATGCTGTTCTTCCCCTTCACTTCTTACTCACTGCCTGACTCTGATTAGCTGTTCCACTCTGGCTCAGTGCCCCATCTGGACCTAGGCAAAGGATCCACCGATGCCCCCTCTGCCACCGTCCTAGTCCACACGGCCATCGTCTCTCTTACAGCTATTAGCTGCTTGAGGACTGGAGATGCATCTGTCCACTTCCCCAGCAATGTGGTCATTACACAGCCGGGCTGGTACTCACCGAGTCAACAGTGGCTTCCTCTCACCCAATACGTAGTCCACTAAGAAGATCTTTCCATGTACGCACACAGCTCTGGAGATAACAACTCTTAAACCACAGCTTTTACTAAAGGGAGGTGTCCCAGTTAGCTACACTTCTCACTTGGCTCGTGCTGTTCCTCAGCCTAGCTTGCCATGGGTTGCCTATCCAGCTCTGTTCTCTAAGTACCTTTACCTATGCTGTCTGTTGTGGCAATCACTACTTGCTTTTAAGGTAGCTGTCCGTGCAAAATACATGCCAGAATTTGGAGATTAAGCAGGAAAAAAAAAGAATGTCAAACACTCCTATGATTTTTCTATATTGATTTCATGTTAAAATGAATATATTTCATAGATATTGATGTAACAGGCACTTAGAAGCTGCTTTTGTTGAAAAGTATTGACCCTCTCTTTCTCCCACAAGGTGGCTAAACCAAAGAAGCATAAAGCCTCTGCCTTCCTCCTGGCGCAGCCTCCCTTACTCTGGCTCACGCTGCCTACTTGACTCTGCAGAAGCATAAGAACTATTATGCCCTGTCTACCTAACCCAATCCACTCTGCTTCAAGGCTGAAGGTACAGAAATGAAAGTTAATGACCCAAACCTGCAGTCACTTTGAATTCTAGGAGCAATAAGGCTGGTCGGACAGGCCCTGCTCCGAGAGGACGGTTGCCTATGAAGGAAAGGCTGCATCCTGGAAGACACTGTGTCACAGGGACCACAGTGATCCCCTTAGGGATGTGACAGCAATAAACAACGTAGCACAACTTGTCAATCACCCTGCAGAACTAGACCTGAGACAAAGATGGGTGAGAGCATATCTTGACCAGAACTGGTTAGTTACACACAGCTCTCGACTGCTACCCTAATTCTTCCTCGGTTTTAAACATAAGGTTCATATCAGTATCTCAAAGATGAATTTGGGGTCAGCCAGCTCTCTTTATTTGTTCCTATTCCCAATGCATTGATTAAATCTCTTCCTTCGCTGTTCATCATCCCCCTCTTTAATTGGCATGTTGGGAAGAGTGGTAAAAACAGCCTGTTGTGGCTGTTGCAGCAAAGGTCCCAAATCTCTGGTCACACTGGGGAAAGTTTTAATTGTAGCCTGCTAAAAGTTCCAAGCTCTGTAAATGGCTTGGATGACATGTCTATTGGGTGGAATCCATGGCACTTCTCAGGGCCTCCAGCTGTGTTAGGGGCATCCCTGTGAAGCTCCGTGGGAGCCTGTCTTCTTGGATTGGACCTGTTGAGCCAGCCCAACATGGACAAACTAAAGCGAGTACTCTGGTGGGTCCTGGGGAGCTGGCAAGATAGACCAACGCCCCTGGCTAAGGTAAATTCTTCTATGTCTCTGCCTCAATGCCCAAGGGCTTGGTTCCTGGAGATTAGCTGAATCCTGAAAAGGTAAGGAGAGAAAAGCTGTGATTTTTCTAATGGGGAAAGGCCAAGAAAGGTCTGAGGGAAAGGGAGCTCTTTTCACAGACCATGAGCAAGCATTGTTCCATATTGAGGTGGAGATTTTAGGGGAGGGATCTGCAGTCAGAAGACTGAGCTCAGAATCCACGTCTGCTGGAACCATGTACTGGTTGAGTATCCCTAACCTGAAAGTCCAAGTGCTCTGAAACTCAAACTGTTTTCTTTTCAGGATGCATGCAACATCTTATGTGGAAAATTCCAACCTGGATTCACCAGAAAAGTCACAGCCAATGTGCTGGCATGCTAACATTTTTTAAAATACCCTCAGAGCTGGGCATAGTGGTACATAACCTCATCCTGATATCTAGGAGATGAGGCAGAAAGATAACAAGTTCAAGGCCAGCGTGGTCTGCAGAGTGAGACTTAATACACACACATACATACACATACACACACACACACACACACACACACACACAACACTACCTTTAGGTTCTAGGAATAATATTTATTTTCATATAAATTCACCTAATTAATTTCATGTTTAGCTTTAAGACCCATTCTTAAGATATTGCATTGTATATATGCAAACATTCTAATGTTTTAAATATATATTCATATATGATAATTGTTTGCAGGACATATTTGCCGATTATTCATCTATTATTTTAAAAAGATACCAAATCTGAAACCCTTGATATGAGGCATTTAGGATAAGGGATACTCAATCTATATTAAAGGTCATCTAATCATGGCTAGTGAAATGGGTCAGAGGGTAAATGCACTTGCCAAACAAGCCTGATAACACATGTGAAGGCGGAAAGATAGAACCTATTCTACATAATTGTTTTCTGACCTCCACGTGCACACCATGGCATGCATGTGCTCCCTCCACATCACACACAGAATTTAATAATAGTAATAAATTTTGAAAAGACCATTGGGTTGTATTCTTTAAATGGGCCGTTTGTGTGATGTGTGAGTTATATCTCAGTAACGACACTGCATAAAAATATTTATAAACTTTGCATGCAAACGGAGAAAATAGCTTCCCCTGTCTGTGCCTTAGTTTTCATGCTGTGGAAAGAGATGATAATAGCAATGTATTTATCTTCTCGCAGGATTGCTATGAGAAGGAAAAGAACCAATGCACGTGAAAAGGTCCCATTATGCCCATAGCGAGGGCACATTGTGTACTGCCATTCTTTCATGCCAAGCCCCGTGCTAGTCATATCGCACACAGTACTTCATTGCATCCTCACAACAGTAATGTCATGGTGTGTATGTGTGACCATCTCCATTAGGAAGGGTCATGAGGTGCTCTGCTACGATGTGGTTGTCTATCGGCAGAACTAGGTTTGGCTGTTCAAATCCCCACCTCTCTCCATTTTGTCATATCCCTGCAGTCACTTTAAGCTTCAAGCAGGGCAAAAGTTTCTCAGGCACAGCCTCCCCTGGATGTTGCTGTGGGTGACAGGCTTTCTCCTAAGAAGACATATCTTCAGGCCTGAGATCAAGAACTATTGGACCAAGTTACTTCATACACGTATCTAAGGCTGGTTTTCAGGTCAGCCAGCTGAAGATTCATCTGGGGGTTCCCCAGTATCTATAGGATCCCAGAAGCTGCTCTCTTAATGCTCCTCAATTTTGACAAAGCACCTCAAGTTCAGAGTGGTGACTCACTCACTCAGAACAAGGAATCCAACCTAGGTCTTTTTCACTCACCCGCTCCCTTCATTCATATTTCTTATTCATTCAGTCATCGCCCATTAGGTGTTCAGGATACAAACATGAATTGCTTTCTGCCATGGGAAAAAAAAAGACTGGAGAGAACGGAGAAAGGAGAAACGCACGACAGCTGGGGAGGCTGTGTGTGTGTGAAATGTGTGCATGTGTGTTGGGGGTGGGGACTGGCAGGCAGAGACTGTCTCCTAGACAAAGCGCTTCTTGTAGAATAAATAGCATTTCACCAAGAGTAGAGAAGGGGGGCCAAGGGAGGCTTAGGGAAGGAAAACGGCTTGGGCAAGCCTGGTAAAATGGGGTGTTTCGGGTGGGTGGCAAAAGACAAGATGGCACATAGTTGGAAACATGGTGAGAGTTAGAGGCAGCTCTCGTCCTATGCCTTATAGGCCTTGGGTGACAGCTCAGTGCATCAGGAATGGGCTTGGGGCCTGGCCAGTTTGGTTTCAGAGAGACCACTGTGGCAACAGAGTAAGGAAAAAGGCAGAGGGGCTACCTTTGAGGCCGAAGACCTCGGGAAAAGGTCAGAGAAAGGAAATAAACACCGTGCCCTGAGGAGAGAATGCAGGAGTCTCTCAAGGAGATGGAGGGGAGGGGAATTCCAGTGCTATCCTCTGGCTTAAGGAGCCACAAGGTTGCTGGGCCCTGAGGCAGGACCACTAAAAGGCAAGAATGCAGCCCACTGGGGTACTAGACCTCTGTATTTAGAGTCCAACATTGCGGCACAAGGCGAGGTATGAGCTAGAGAGACAGCCCTATGCACTCTGTGAACCCTTGGCTGGGTTCTTTTTGTAGTTGCTTTGTTCTAGATGGGACCCAGGTTGACCACCAATTTAGTTTCAATACTCCTACCTGGGCTGGGACAGCAAGCTTGTGACACCATGAGCTTCTTGATTCTTAGCCTCATGCTCTTCATTCTGCCGTGGCAGGCTGACTTCAACTGTCTTCTGCAAATGTATGGTCCCAGTGACAGGGGATATAGGGTACAGCAGCGGGAAGCAGTAAGGTGTCTGTAAATGTCACAAGAATCAGAGTCGGACCTGACAGCTAAGGCTTTTTTTTTCTTTTTTTAAAAATTTTTTATTTAAAAGTATTTTTTTTCATTTTATAAACCAATCACAGTTCCCCTCCCTCCCTTCCTCCTGCTCCCCCCTCGCCTTCCCCCCACCTCACCCCCATCTACTCCTCAGAAAGAGTGAGGCCTCCCAGGGGGAGTCAACAAAGTCTGGCATGTCAAGTTGAGGCAGGACCAAGCCCACCCCCCACCCCCCCCGTATCAAGGCTGAGCAATGTATCCCTCCATAGGGAATGGGCTCCCCAAAAAATCAGTTCATGCACTGGGGATAAATCCTAGTCTCATTGTCAGTGGTACCACGGACTGCCCAAGCCACAGAACTGTCATCCACATTCACAGGGCCTAGTTTGGCCCTATATAAGTTACCCAGCTCAGGTCAGAGTCAGTGAGTTCCCGCTAGCTCAGGTCAGCTGTCTCTGTGGGCTAAAGGGTTTTCTTATCCAGCCTACTTTCAGGTAAGCCTCTTCAGAAACTGAGATGAGAGCCCATCCCCACCCCCATCACACCCAGCCAGGGAAAGAGCTAGAAGAACTCTGGGTATTGCTAGGAGAGGACCAACTGAAGTGTGATTTGCATATGATTTGCATAAGACAATCTGTTCTCTGGTAATTTTCAAGTGAAAATGTTATCATCACTCCCTGGAGGGTCACTGCACGATTTTCCTCTCCTTTGTTCTTTGGTACATACAGACTGCCCCAGGTCTGCCCTCTATGAAGGCATAATGGGGAGGAGGAGCTGAAAGAGGGAGCAGGCTGGGGAGAGAGGGACAGTGTCCTGGCTCAAGGGCTGCCATCCCCTCCCCAGGGCACAGGACAGACCAATCTTCTCTTGACCAAAATGGCCTTCAACAAACAGCCCCTACCTAGGCTGTGTCTGGCTACTCCCTGACCCCTCAATGCTGCCCTGCTCAAGGACCTCTCTTGGGGCCCAGTTACTAAGTCAAGCCCAGGCAATTCAAGGCACAGGCCTGGCTCAGGGGAAACTTTCTAATAGGTGGATAATTGCCTCTGTTAATTGCAATTTGATTTTAGCAATTTTTCTCTAAGAGCTTAGGGGCCTCAGGCCCAGATATGGAGAAGGGGGTGTAGGGGTGGAGCCTCCAAGCTAGGGTCCAACCACGCAGAGTTTACCACCTGCTAGTTCATCCCAGTGAGTCTAGGACCAGAGCGGCATCTTACCCCACACCTCAGTTCCTCAACAAAGACATGCCGGAAATGGCTCCGAGGACCAGCAGTTCCCAGGAATGGCTTGGCAACACCTCCAGAAGGGGTTTGATGGCAGACCATCCAAGTTCATTGCCTGAACTCTATTGCGAGGCCTGGAGGCCTTCCCAGCCAGAGATGGAACATTCTTCTAGGGCTACCTTGGTCTCTCCTACCCTTTCCTGGGACTGCCACCATCTTTTTCCTCACCAGGCAGCTGTGTCCTTGAGGCTTTTGGAACCTTGTGACCTCATGGGCCACAGTGTTTCCAGTCCCAGATTTTCTATAATTTACTGTGTGTCCCAAACTGGCCTTAAGCCCTAAATGATTTTGTCCCAGTCTCTTGAGTGCTAGTGAGCCACTGTGCCCTGCTCTGTTTCTTGGTCTTAAAGCAGGGAGACGATGCTATCCCCACAATGGGATTGTGGCAAGGGTTAAAAAGTTACTATGTGCGGCATTCTCCACCCAGAATCCAGCACTTATTAAGGTCCCTGTAAGCGATGCCTGTACCCTGGCTTTTGTGATTAGTGATCTCAGGGCACTCAGGGTTGACCCCTCACCTTGCAGCTGGTGGCCATGTAGGTCCATGGGGGCTAAGGAGGAATCAGGTAAGAGAGGTGCCCTGAGGTTAGGGCCTGTCTGGGATGAGGCTGGAGGTTGGGAGCAGGAGGATGACCGGCTTCGGTGTCCTGAGCAGAAGCTATTCCATTGATACCTGGGTGGCTTGGAACAGAAACTGCACAAAGGATGTCTCTTGTCACCCCGTTGTTCACCAACTCTGCCTCTGCCATTTTGCCACTCAGAGGACTGCTGGGAAGAAGAGGAATCTAGGAATGGAGAAGTCTGGGAAACTGTTTTGCCCCTTGGAAAGGCGCTTAGAGACAAACGGGCCAGGCTTCCAGCCTTTGCCGGCTTCTTAGCTGTGTCTTTGGCCGTGTCCTCCACTTCTCCCAGCCTCAGTTTGCTCCTCAGTGCCCACATCGGATGGCTACAGGATTAGCTAGGATAACAGGCAGCAGCATGCTTCATAAATAGCCATTTCCTCCCCGCCCCCTCCCCTTCCCACACGTGTAAGGGGAGCAATTATCTCCCTGTGTTTATGCATGTGCTGCCTGCCTTTCCCCACTGGGTTCCTCCCTCATGTGAAGGTGTCGGCCACTGCCTTCTTTTCCACTGCATACAGGCCCTCTCTGTTGCTGGCAGGGAGCAGGGGGGTGATGGAGGCAGGTCGTGGTTTGGGGCCCTGGTTGAGCGTCTGGGCGCCTGCCCACCACCTCTGGCCAACTGCTGCCTGCAGCATGCTCATTAAGCCCAGAGGACCCCAGAACAGCATCACAGGCCTTTGCCTCAGCCCAGCCCCCAGTGGCCTAACAGGGGAAGGACTGCACAGACAGGCTTTTTGCTTGAGGCCTGGGGGATGGGGGAGTGGGCGATCTGCACTGGGCAGTGGCCCAGAGAGGAAACAGAAAAGGGGTAGGGCAGGGGTCTGGAGGAGCCTGGTCTGTTAGACTGGGGAGGAATTGGGAGATGTGAGGAGAAGGCCACAGCTTCTGCTTGCTCTTGGGCTGTGCTGGGCCTGGTGTGGCTGGCCCCTGCCTGTAAAGGAGGTGTTGACAGAATGATGGGGTGGGAGGTCCCCAGATGCGGGCACTGCAGGGCCAGCATGCTGGGAGGTGACTGCTTGGTACCTTGTCCCGGGGCTTCTGGAGTCTACTGCTTACTATGGACTTGATTTGTGTGTTTGGTGTGTTTGGGGGGAATGTTCCTTCAGTTTCTCTTGTCTAACCTGGAGCTGAGAATAAACATAGGGTGAAACCATGCATGGATGTAGGGCACCCTAGATTCAGGAACGGGGTTTCCTGGACAAGAGGAAGGAGAACGGGTCAGGAGAGGAGTGCCCAAGGGCCCTCATCTG